CTACAATTATTATTATTATTATTATTATTATTATTATTATTATTATTTTATTTCTTATGATTTCTGTTGTATACACATGCCTTTCCGGGTCCTGTCCAGAAACTTAAAGTTATAAATGGCAACATGATATTTTCCACTGACCAATTAAAAAAAAAACATACACACGCATATTTTACATAGATAAATCCCTTAAGTAAGGTGTGGGCTGTACTCGTGACAACAATTTCTGTAAGGCATGGGTTTCCAGGAATCCCTTTAATGAGTCAACTGAAATCTTTTCCAACTAATCCGAAGGCTCCAAATACAACAGGGATTGTTGATGTTACTATGTGCCACATTTTTGAGATTTCGATTTCGTTATTATTATTATTATTATTTTTATTTTCTTTGATTTCTGGCGTTTACACATTTCTTTCCGGGTCCCATTCTTTCCACTGACAAAAAAAAAAAAATTACATAGATAAAGCCCTTCGTAAGGTGTGGGCTGTACTTGTCAGAACAATTTTCTGTATCTCCTTGAGGCATGGACTTCCAGGAATCCCTTCAATTAGTCTACTGGAATCTTTTCCAACCAGTCCTAGGGCTCCAACTACAACAGGGATTGTTGATGTTCCCATATGCCACATTTTCGAGATTTCTATTTCAAGGTCCTTGTACTTTGACAACTTTTTGAATATCTTCAAAGATACATTGCAGTCAACAGGGACTGCCATATCAATAAGGAGGCACCGTTTTTGTTTGTGGTCTTTAATAACAATATCTGGCCGGTTGGCCTTGATTGTTCTGTCAGTGTGTATTGTGTAATCCCATAGAATTGTAACAGGTCCTATCTCCGTAACCGGGTCTGGGTGGTGTTCATACCAGTTTCTTTCAGTTTTCTTCCCGTAGAAGTTACAGATTTTCCAGTGCAGATATTGACCCACTCTGTCATGTCGGGTCTTATATTCAGTGGGTGCCAACACCGTGCAACCTGATACAAGATGATCAATCGTTTCTGTATATTTATCACAGAATCTGCATTTTGGGCTGACACAATATTTTAGTATATGTGCTTGATAATTCCTAGTTAGCAAGCATTGGTCCTGCGCAGCAAGGATAAAACCTTCAGTTTCCGCTTTCAACCCTGCACTACGTAGCCACTGATGGGTACGGGTTTTGTCTACGTCAGCTTGTTTGGTACGGGCAGAGTATTGGCCATGAAGCGGTTTATCTTGCCATCGCTTCTGTAACTGGTCGGTTGCATTCGTCTTAGCTATCTTTTTTAGGTATTTTGCAGTTTCAGCCGGTGTATTGTGCTGTAGTTGCATCTCTACGCCCATTTGGAACTCCATTTTGAATTTCTTGGCTTCTTTCATTACGGAGTAGAGACGCTTACTACTTTCATGTTCCTTGACGCATACCATCATCCAGTCTTCTGTAGTTTCCAAATATCTTTGGAGGCCAATTGTTGTAGGACAGTTCTAGTTGAACTAATCCTCTGCCTCCTTCGGATCTGGGCACATACAGACGGTCGACATCAGCTTTGGGATGATGCATGCGATAGCAAGTGAGTAGCTTTCTCGTTTTGGCATCCATTCGCTTAATTTCAGCTATGGTCCAGTTAAGGACATTAAAGCTGTATTGCACCACAGGGACAGCCAATGTGTTTATGGCTGATATCCTGTTTTTTGAGTTTAGCTCAGTATTTAGTACCAGACGTACACGCCTGTAGTATTCTTTTTCTTTTTTTTCCTTCATTTGGGGGTGCTGTATGCCATCTCCTTCGCTAATTCCTAGGTACTTATAAGCTTCACCATGCTCCAGTTCCCTAATCTTTGTGACAAAATCTAAATCTATTAAGGGTGTTTCTGTAATTCTACCTTTCTTGAAAGTTACTTTTGCACATTTATCTAATCCGAAGTCCATACCTATGTCGTCACTGAAGTATTTTACAATATTGAGGAGGCCTTTCAACTCATTGTCGTCTTTGGCAAAGAGTTTGAGATCATCCATGTAGAGTAGGTGATTGAATATTTTCTTATTTATTTTGTAACCATAGCTACTGTTGTTCAGTTCATGCGTAAGAGGGATTAAGGATAAACAAAATAGAATGGGTGACAGAGAATCTCCTTGAAAGATTCCACGTCGGATACTCAGACGGTTGGATATGGCAGTGCCCCCGGTGTGACTAAGGTATAGTTTGGTGTTCCACATTCCCATGCTGTGCTTAAGGAAATTTAATACCACAGGGGAGACTTTGTACATTCCAAAGTCTTAAGGATCCAAGAATGTGGGACACTATCAAAGGCTTTACGATAATCAATCCACGCTGCACTTAGATTCCTGCGTCGTCTCCTGCAATTTTCCAGGATTATTTTATTTATCAGAAGTTGATCCTTGCAGCCATATGAACCTCTTCCGTATCCCTTCTGTTCCAGCGGGAGAGTGCTGTTTGTTTCGAGAAAGGAATAAGTACGGTTCGTCAATACAGACGTGATCAACTTATACGTTGTGGAGAGACATGTTATCGGTCTATAATTTTTCGGGTCGTCTGTTTCCGTTGTTTTTGGTACGAGGTATGTCATACCTTCAGTAATCCATTCCGGGGTTTTA